ATATATTTAAAAGAAGAAAAAATTGAGTTTACCGATTCATTTTCTTACCTTGGTGTAACTATAATGTGCGTATAATGTGGTATTTATTTTGAAAAAAAGGCGTTTCTAGTCGTGGACTAGACTGAAACTTACAAAAATAGTTATTTTATGAGCTTTTTAATTTGATTTCCAATACTTTTTATGGCTTACTTTTTGAACATTTTCTTCGCAACAGGATTTTACATTTTAAAAGACTAAATCTATCTGAATAACTATAAAAATGTGCTTTCTGATGTAAAGTTTAATAAACTTTTTGAATATTCATGGCATATAAATTGTAGATAATTAATTTAAAAAATCAACAATTTAAAATAAATAACATGACTTCTTGTTCCTTATTACTACTTTTTGCTATGAAGAAACTAATCTCATCGTCATATTTCATACACTTTTAATAACGCATCGTACATTTTTAAGAAACTAAAAACTTATTTTCAATGAAAATTTTATGATTGTTCATAACTAAAAATTTCTGGATATGAAAAATTATATCTTTATTGTAATATCGTATGAAGAAATCAGTTTATGAACTTCATTTTTTTTCTCCTGAAAAACTTGATTTTACACATTTCCACTCACTGTATGCATTGCTTTTCCGTGAGTTTTGTTATTGTTAGTAAAGTCTGGTACAACTCGAATTTTTCTTAAAAAGTTATTTTTCGAATTTTCAAGATTTATTAAACGTTAAATGTTGGAATAAATATCAAGACCTCAACTAGAAACCTGAAAACAACAATGTACAAAGGATATTTGTAAGAATAATTTCAAACGCTGCAAGTGTAGATATATTTAAAAACCATGCGCGGAATGAGAAAATAGAAAAGTCATGTTTGAAACCCTTTGATGAGGTTTTTTGCCACGTGGGATTCTTTTAACACGTTTTTTGAAGCACAAAGCGCATTTTTTCTTAAAAATAATTAAGTTTAAACATTAATTTTTTCATTCTTTTTCAAAGACAAAGAAGGAAACCCAAAAAGTTGGTGTAAAACTTCTCTTAATTTCCATTTTTTTAGGCACTTCAAAGCTTTCAAACATTAATTATAAAAATTCATTATTTTTCAGTATAAAGCTTTGACTCACGAAATAATAAGAGTCAATTTACTAAATACATTTACCTATTTACAATATAATGCATGTTTATTACCAAATTTCCAGAGATTAGAAGCAGTAAACACTGTAAACAGCTTCGCTGCCCTTACGATTTTCACTCGGTACCGCACATAACTCGGACCACTTTCATTTCTTATTAGAAAAGACCCTGCAAAAAAAGCTGCTCGCCATTTTCTCGCACAGGTGTATGGCGGCATAGCAGAACAATGATTGCAGTCCCGGGTTTCACATCTCCAACGATGCGTAGCCTAAATATTGGTAATACTCGTACCTTAGCAAATTTGTCGCCTCCTCCGGACTCAACGGAATAAGGTCGTAGTAATTTGGATTCCGTATCTGAGATGATCGAAAAAATTTCGCAAAATATTTAAATTACGGCCAATTGATAGATTTAATGAGGAAATATTTACACCTGTGGTTTAACTTCTGGAGTAAGACTCTTTATGAAGATAAGTAAAAAATAAGAAAGTTGAACAAGAATTAAATAAATTGAAAGGGTTTTATAGCATTCAAAGATACGCACACTTACCCCTAAAACTTATTTTTTGAGTAATTATCTTACAATAAAGAGTTTGAACAATTAGAAAAGAAACTTCAGTTGGCACAGTATTCTATAAAAGTCAATAGAAATCGGAAAAAATGATCGAATAGTTTTTTATGAAAAAAGATAAACTGCCTATTGTCGATAAAGCAGAAACTTGAAGCCAGCTAAGTAGCCTAGTTTTTTATCGACCAAGGCCTGAAAATGTAAATTTGAGTAACATTTTTTTTAATCGATTTTTTCAAAACGGATTTTTAGGATCCTTCGTGTTAATGATGTGAATTAATATACCAAATTTTAATCAATTTCATTCTGTTGTTTTACCAGAAAACAAAATTATAACCCTGAATACGGAAATAAAAAATGTCGGTCGAGTTGTCCCAAAAAAAAACAAAATTACCTAAAAGAATTGAATTTATTTGCGCACAACGACTGCACTTGCTACTATAGTAGTGCAGCGAACTTCCAAATTATTCAGTCTGTAAATTATGTTTAAAATATATATGTAGCGAGAATAATTTAAAATTAGCTCCGATACTCTAATGGGTATTGTAGACTCGTACGGCGGTGCGCACAGCGCATGGTCGTGTCGCCTTTTTGGACGACACTCGCTACGTCTATCCTCTCTTTGTAGACTCGACTTTTAACAGCGCATCCAGTCGGCGACCTTGGCAGTTGGCAGTTGGCATGCGCAGTCGTGACTCGTGCAGTGCAGTCGAATCAAGTGTGATCTAGTGCTTGAGAGGTTACGTTTTCGGAGGTGTTTAGTTGGTAACAATTCACCATTGTAAAGTCGCCCAAATTCGTGGATAATTTTAAACTAGGGTTTCTTTTAAATTTGTTCAAATGGAAGTGGACCAGCAGAATTCAAGTATTTATGGTTTGGATGAAAAAAAACAAAAGTGAGTAACTGATTATTGTTTGATATTATGTAAATCGAGTATTTTTTTATTTCGTATAATGTGAATAACAACATTTTTATTTCAGAATTATCGATCTCGCAAAATCTGCGGGGAAGAAGGGAATTTTCGATGAGGACATTACACAAATTGAACCTGTTCCTCAGAAAAGAGTAGATATTATTAATTATCTCTTACAAAAGCACATTATTAAATTATTTCTAGTTAATAAAAAAAACAATTATAAATATAATAGCAATCATGAAACGAGTTTAAAATTAACTAAAAATATTACAAGAGAAGAACAATTGATTTATGACCATATAGCAAAAGCTGGAGACAAGGGAATATGGCACCGCGAATTGAAGACGAAAACCGGTGTACCAGATCAACAATTGACTAGAATAACAAAAACTCTTGTGAGTAAAAAATTTATCAAAATTATAAACTCCCCCCAAGATAAGAGGAAAAAGTTGTTCATGTTGTACCATTTGAAACCATGTACTTCGATTACCGGTGGTCCTTGGTATACCGATCAAGAATTTGACGAAGTTTTTGTTAATACGTTGAATCAGCAGTGTTACCTATACTTGGAACAAAAAAGAGAGAAAGCCAAGGCTCAGGATTTAGGCCCACTAATCGAGAAAAATGCCTCGTTCGCTCCGTCCGCAGATGTATTGAAGTACATTATGGGATTTACAACCGTAAGAATCTTAATCTAATCGTAGCTATATATTTCTTAAATTATTGAAATAATTAATTTTCATTTCATTCAAATTTTCAGCAAAAACTGGAAGTAACGGACGTGGAAATGATTTTAGACTCATTAGTTTATGACGGCAAAGTGGAAAGGGTCACGACTAGCGACGGAAACAACATGTACAGAGCCATTGCACGATTGGTCGAAGGTACAGGACTTGTGAAGAGTCCCTGTGGATTATGTCCCGTGCGAAAAGATTGCTCCGATGTCGGAAATATTACGCCCAACACTTGTCAGTACCTCGGCGAATGGTTGAGTTACTGAAGATTGCATTTTTAGACAAATTGTTTATGAAATTGTTGAATGAAATTGTAAAAAGATGTATATTTATATTTTTAGCTAGGAATAGAGGTATTAAAAATTTCTTAATCTTAATCTTGACTATTTTTTTATTTTCAACTTCAAGTACAAGTTCGATCGTTTTAAACCTGTAACAGTATGAAATTTGCGCGTACAATTTAAAAATTCGCGCAAACGACAGGAAGTCGAATATCGCAGCGGCGGGAGTAATTCAAGTTTGATCGCGCGCGCAAATTCAGCGCACCAAAAGCAAGCCAATTATTGTGTCAGTATATGTTGAATTTTTAAGCATGTACAAATATCAGTGGAAATTAATCCGCCGCTAAAAATGATAAAACTCATTTTTCACTGCTTTGACCAAGTCTGCAAGGCACGGTTTGATTCTGCGACCAACGCGACACATTTCACATAGACGGTACCATCTTAAAAATTTTTAATCTGCAACCGTAAATAATCATTTAACCCAGTTCAAGCTATTTTTTATGAATGAGAAAGTCAACGTAAGTATAACCAAAGTCACCTAGATGATGCAATTTTTGTAATATTTGCCGAATCAATCTATAGCTACTACTGTACCAAATTTTAGTTTATTTCTTTCGTTTGTTTTCTCAAAAAACAGAATAGAAAAGTTTAATCCTGAAAATTAAAATTGATAATTTCAATCCAGTTTTATCAAAAAACTACTGTACGAAATTAGATAAAATTTCATACAGTAGTTTTTCACTATTGTTTTTGGAAAATCAGTGTAGAAAACACAATTTTTCAAATTTTGCCCCGTTCAGGTGAAGGGGTACTTTTTTGAAGATTTTGAAACCCTACAGGACGAAATTGATGAAGAGCTCGCTTCAAGATCATGCAAAGTGATTTCAAACACAGTATTTAGTATTATGAAAAACATTCTCTTTTGTCACAATCCTGTCAGCTTATGGTTGACTCTTTCAAGAAACAACTTCTCCGGTGGCCCCAAGTAACCTCGATCGACGTCTCTCGATCAAAGTTGAAATGCATTTTTGAATGCATTCGAGTTGAAATAACAATAGCGTTTACGCATTCGAACGAACTTTATTAATTTCTAATATGTTCTCGACTATAAATCGAACACACACACACACACACACACACGGTCGCAAACAGAAGTCTACAGGTGGGAGCACGCACACAGCTGGGCAAAATGACAGCCCGCGACGCTCCGTTATAGGCCAGCGTCGAGCATCTCTTATATACAGTATATCGTTGTTATTATCGCGCTTTGTATACAAACCCGGTATAGGGCAGACGATGTGATTCGCGCGCGCGGTATAGTAGTATAGCCCCCTCGTGCCAAAACCGGCGCAACTCCGGCTTTTTTCAAATACCACATCTCTCGCTCTCGCTCTTTCTCACGCGCGCGGCCTCGGGGGCCGATGCGGCAAAGTTATAACGGCCGTCTGCATACACATATAACACGTATGCCGTGACGCCGCCGCCGCCGCTGCCACTGCCTGTTGTTGTATCTACACATAGGCTGTCTCTCCGCTATATATATATATATATTTTAGCGAAATTTTAAACGCCCAAGCCTATATACACGAGCAGCGGGCCGTGTTTCGCAGTCAGTATAGTAGCCTTAGTATAGATCAACGCGCGTTCTCCAATCGATTTCGCGTATCGATATACCCGCCACCAGGTATACGCATATCACAGTCATGCGGACTGTATTTGCGTGTCGCGCTTTTGTTTAAACGCGTGTGTTGTGTATACGGTGTTGTTGTTCGTTAAAAATTAAGAGTACTCGCGCGCGTGTACATATGCGTGCGTTTTATTAATGTGCAGTGCCATCGATTCGATTGAAGGTTATTACAGTCGAGAAAGCGACCGTTGGCAGTACCAGGTGTACCCAACGCTGTCGTCGTTGTTGTTGTTATTATTATTGCCATCGCGTACGTTGTAAACGTCGAGATCGCAAACAAAACAAAAAAAAAGAAGTGCCATGTCGGACCTCATCATCTTCGAGAGCCCGAGTCCCAGCAGCAGCGGTGGCAGCAGCAGCGGCAACTCGGACGTATGCGAGCAGCAGCGTCGTCGTTGTCATAATCAGCCGGGCCATCTTGCCTCGCCGCTCATCCCGGCGCCAACGTTGGTCCTCGCCGCGGCGCCTAACGACCTTAAAGACGACACGTCGTCGGACTTGATCCTGCGCCGCAGCATCGGCGAGAACAATCCCTTCGACGTAGTCTCGCGCAAGGCCAACGACTACGAGCGCAATCGCGACGATCCCTTCGAGCGGGTTATGTCGGCGGCCGCGGAGGGCGAATCTTTCGGCTGCGCCGCCGGTGGTGGTAGCAGCAGCAGCAGCCACTTGTACGATGATTCGAGCAACAGCTCCTCGCTGCCGAAACGTCCGAAACTCGTTGCCGCGTCCAGAAGACGCGATAGCTTGGTTCCCGAACTGGGCGACAGTAATCACGATGACGATGATCATGATGATGATGTCGAAGACGATGATGCCACGAACTCGGTGCCCGTTATAACGCTGTCCTCGTCGTCGGAGGCTGCGGAGATGTCAATTTTGAGCATTTCGGCCATGAACGACTCGCTCACGGATTCCAATGAGACCAATTTGCCATTAGCCGAACAAAGACTCAGAGTCAAATGTGATATAGATCCTTCTCTTAGTCCAAGAAAGTCGCCCCTAAATAAGCCTAAAAGGTCGCCATTAATTGATAGCTCTCTTAGAAGTAATATATTTAAGGAGGATAAGAAGCAACGCTCGCATTCCAGCAGCAGTATGTTCGATGATCCTTTACCGCTAGCTTTGAGGAAGTGTAACATAAATAGCAATGCCAGGTCTTGCGACAGCTTAAACATGCCATCTGATAGTAGTACAAGATTCGAGAGAACAAACAATAATAGTTCTGTTTTTTTGGGTACATCAGACATCTCAAGTATTCAAAACAGTTCTTCTGTGGCCAATAATTCAACAAATAAATCAAAAGACATATCTGATGTGATCAAAAGATTTCATAAAATCAAAGCCAGAATGTCTACAAGTTTAATAGAGCCTGAAAAAAGTACAAAAAAAGAAATAAATCAAATTAAAAATAAATCTTTGAATTTAAAGTCAAAAAAATCTTCACTGTGTGCCATCAAAAATCTCATTGATGTAGACAGTCCTCCTCAAGTAAATAACAGACACTTTTTAATCATAATTAGATAATGAATTGTTAGATTTTAATAACTTTTTTCTTTGTTTTATAGGAAACAGCAGGAGTTGATAAAATTATTATTAATGAGGCTAGAGCTATTGCACGGTCTTTAGAAGAATCATCTAGGAAAGAAGCAAATGGTATGTAACTGAAACAAGCTGAAATAATGACTTTTAACATTTTTAATTATTTTAAAATACTTTTTTTTACAGCTGATGATAACTGGCTTTTATCAAAAATGCATTTCAACTTTGATCATTTACCAGATTCTGATGATGAGACGGTAGACAATTTAATTGAATTATCACATTCATCTTTAAAAGAATCTGAACTCTCAAAAGAAAATAAATCAATTAAAGTTACCAAGTCAGAAATCAAACCAGAAATCGATATCAAAACTTTAGAAACTGAATTAATTAGTCCAAAAAAAGACGTTGATCAAATAGCCAGTGCTGCTGAACATCTATTCGAAATTGAAAAAATTGTTCAAAAGCATAAAACACCAGATGCACAACGTGTTATGCATAAATTGCATGATATACAAAAGTTTTTGGGTGTTGAATGTGATAACAATACAAAAACATTAAATTTGTTTTTGCACAGTCATAACAAGGAAAGCACAGATGAGAATAAAGAAAATAGAAGTCCCAATTCAAATGAAAGTTGCATTGTATTCAATCACAGAACCAGTAATATAATTTATCTTTATTTTTTATTTATAACTTAAGTAATATTCATATTTAATCATGTTTTTATTTTTTTAGCGAGACCTGAGGTACAACCAACGGTAGGTCTTGTACCAAAATTACGTAAGAAATCTAATTCAGAAATTGTTTCTAAGAAAGGTCCACTTAAAGCTGTGATACCACTTGGGTCTATGCACAAAGGTAATAAAGAAATAGAACTAAACCATTTCTGTAATGATGAAACATTTTTAATGTCTGTTTTTATTTACTTTGTAGTCAACAAACAAATGAAAGTATCAGGAGTATTAGTGACACCAACTAAATCAAAAAGTATACCTCGATTTTCTGGTGGTGCACTAAACATGAGTAATTCTAAAAAATCAAAACCAAATGCTTCTTCAACACCTAATAGAGAAATTTTGAGGTCACAGCGTATTTTGACTGAAAAACATTTCAATAGTCAGAAAAATATATCTCCATTGAATATATCTCCCGTTTTACATAAATCTAATCAATCAAAGTTGATCCCAGTCAAGAGGCACAGCGAATGGTTGTAATTTTATTATAATTTTTTTTATGTCTTACGCATTATTTTTTATAAATTTTTATTTTAAAGGTTAGATAAGAAGATGTCTCCTCAGAAGCGTATAACAACACCAACAAAAAAGCCAAGAGAAAATTTTGTGAACTCAAAACTAATTAGATACTCACCCATGAGTCCATTAAGAAACTAAGTGAATAGCATTGACGCTAAAATGAAGAGCATGATTGATTTAAGTTTTTATACATAATATAAGTGTTAGTTTTATTGCTCGAGTAATAATTTATAAATTCCAATACTATAAGTTTAGTGTACATTTTTATCTCTTTAAGTTCATTGTAAAGTTATGATTTTTATAATAAATTGAAAATTGTTGACAAGATATATATTACCTGTAATATTTATAGAAACATGAACATTTCAAGTAGAAAAATAATCATAGATTTTTTGAGATATATAAATTTGCGGCTTTCCTTTGCATCTTAAAGAAATTAAGTAAATAAAAGAAAAACTAAAAAAAAAGAGTTACTTATCTGCACGTGCTTTAAAACTAAAACGAATATCAATAATTATATTATTTTATTATAAAGATTATCACTATAACTTTTTACTGTAATTCGTTCAAAGCTCTCTGTGCTATAATTTTCTGTAATTAGAAAAAAACGTAACCCAAGTTCGTTTCGTTCGTTTTTTCGTTCGTTCAAACGTACCGCTCAATTGAGATACAGTAGTTCATTGTGCAGATTGTAGACTGCAGCCTGCAGGCTCCTGGAGACAGTAGAGCCGTTAATAAGTGTGGTACAAATTAACACGGCAGGCAGTATTTCCTTAACGAACGCCGCTGTGGATAGTACGTAAATCCTCTGCTATTTTTCTGCAAAGAATACTGCAAAAGACGCGCGTAACTCAACGTTGCAAAAGTTCGATTGAACGAACTGGAACCTCATTGAAATCGGCTTGAAAAAATCAGGTACGTTTTAATTCTATTGATTCTTTAAGAATTATTAAAAGTACGGGTATCCGAAAATCGTACGAAAGTGATCAGGCCCAATTAATTCGTTTTCTGCCGCATGTTCGTTATACAAATACGTGCAATTAATCCACGCAATTTTGTAATAAATAAATGGTTTACAACCGGTAAAGTCGTTTTCTAAATTATAGGGAATCGGAAAGATGTACTTGTTTTTTTATTTTTGGAAAACTTTTTGCCGAAAAACGTGGTAAACCTACGCGCTCGATGAAAATGAGGTTAAACAATTTTCTTTAATCTCACTCTTTATATCTTGGGATTTCACCATACTACCGTCGGGTACATCTGAAAATCTTCTTAAAAGTGTTTTTTGTGAATTGTATTTTTTTAGATTTTTAGTTTAGGTTTTGATATACATTCTATCATTTAATATGCGCTCAATGTTAAAAGCCCCAATTTTCTCATTTTTAACTTTTTTATACAATTAATGATGTACAATTTATTTATTACTTATCTTACAATTCTGAGAAGTAAAATCTAAGAACCAACTTTTCAAGGAGATTTTGAAACTTCTCAGACTGATATAGATCAATCTGAAAATTTTGATATAAAGATTCAATTAAGCTTGACTTCAGCGAATCAATGATTCTTTTTAAATTTAAATAATGTTAATCAGCCTCATCATGATGAGGCTGATTAACTCAGCGAAACGTTAGCGACAATTTTAATAAACTTTGACGTTTTTTGTTAATATTCGTGTTTGTGTTTTCATTGACGCGTTTCATTGGTAGGAACGTTGAAGTTTGGGTGCCACCTTCATAGCCATTAGAAATTATTTAATACACAATGGAAGGTGAAAATAATATATACTTTTTAATATTCTCATGTTATCAAAATTTTTCTGCCATCACTTGGTGTAATTACCGTTTTTATCCAAATTTCTTATACCCCCTCACTATAAGATGATCATTAAAATACCTTTCAAATACTCATTCTAGCATCATGAATTTAAAAACTACTGGCACATGTCTGAGAATATTTAAAGTAATATATTAAATATCAATTAATTAATTTTATGTAATAAAATGAAAATACACTTGCACTGAACACACAAGACATGTACATATAATATGCTGATCCTGCTGATATGCTGATCAACGGCATAGTCATCACCCCATTACAATTGACATATTTCATATTAAATGAGCTTCTTACTTTTGATTTTATTAGCGTTAACTTTATGCTGTAGTAAAAAAATATATTTGTTACAAGTACAGATGGACTTGCCATTAAAACTTGTAATCAAGACAGTTTAGTTTTCGATTCATCTCAATTCACATCAAACTGCACTTTTATCAGCTTTTGAGAAAACTTGCTATTTTAAGTAAAAATAGAAATACAGTGGAGGGCGGTTATAACGCCTTCCACTTCGCGGGACCATCGAAAAGTTCTTGTTATATCCGGCGTAGTTCAAGAAGACTTTTAAATTTTATTATTGGGGTAAACTAGGAAACTTATTCAAAATGTGTTGTGTTAATAACTTTATTATAAGTAGTGCAAGAGACGCAAAACATATATTTAAAGCGCCGTACTTAATTTCGCATTCTCGCACAAATTGAGTTAAGACGATATTGCGATCAACGACTCCTTTTTCATTATATGATAGCGACGTGCTAAATTTGATTTCCCTTATCCGAAATTCGAAGATCCAGAGAAGTCACCATTTCGTTACGCACCTTCGTTAGGCCGTTCATGATCCGATCGAAATTCGTTCGCAAGCGACAAGAAGCGCTTCGAGAATATACAAAACATATATAGGCTAAATCTGACATTGCTGCCAGGCGTTCACACGTGTTTAAATAGAAATCTATGTTATACACGGAGAGAAAATATACGCGATTGAGGGAGGACGTGGAGGACATTAAAAAATAAAATGTATATCATCCTAACGGGGGGTTGGCGAGCGGAACGAGCAGGGGGGTGCAGCCCCCCTAGTATATATATACACAGAGAGAAAATATACGCGATTGAGGGAGGACATGTATCAAGCAAGAATCGCCGGAACGCTTGCCTGGCTCAATCGCTGGCCGTCCGGCAATGTCGAGGCTCCACGCTGGTACTTGAGTCGAACTACGGCCGCGCGGCATTATTTAGCCTAATCGCTAAATTTATAACTCACTGAAAAAGTGCCTGAATGCACTTAGAAAAATTAATGAATCCACCATTCCGATAGAAAATTATCTTAGCTTTCCAATGGTATGGTCAAATTTTCCGAAATTTTCATTTTTTCCCGAGAAAATCGTCGGGAAACCTTAAAAGTCGAATATCTCACAAAATAGGTTGACTCCAGTTCCAGCGTGCGAGCGACCAAAGCGACGCTAGAGTCTCCGGATATCATCGCCGGACAGCCAGCGATTGAGACAGGCAAGCGTTCCGGCGATTCTTGCTTGATACATGTCCTCCCTCAATCGCGTATATTTTCTCTCTGTGTAGAGTCGCATCACCGCGTGCCTAGTGTATATACAGTGGAGGCCGGTTATAAGGAGATTCACGGGACCATCGAAAAGTTCTCGTTATATCCGGTCCTCGTTATAACCGACATGAGCAGTAATTACAATATTTTTTTTGGTATTTACCAGTTTCATTTATTCATCGAATAAGATGAGATTATTATATACATTGATTATTTTTTTACATTGTTACAAATAATAATAATATAATAATCAGGTTACAAATAATAATTATAATATAGGGGATTGTAAAATTGGTCCATTGATGGGCACATTTTGACTTCTTTTCATAACAAACCATTTATAAAGGGCTGCATCAACATCTGGATTCTTACAAACACGTCTTTTTTTAACGGACCCGCGGCATTCTTCGAAAGATTTTATTATACTCTCACGCAATGCAAACGTCGGTATGAGATTTTCCGTTTTGCAAATCTTGAATGATAGAGTACTTATCGTTTACTGATAATGTTTTCCTTTTTTTTTTGGATTAAAATCTCCCATTTTCAAATTGTAAAAAAAAGTACCAGAAATACGTTTTCCTTACGAAAGCAACTGTAAAACTGATCATTAACTTGCTTAAAGTAAGCTTTGTGTACATAATTCTGTGTTATTGAGTTTGCGTACAAGTATCTAGCTACGAGTGTAAACACGCAATTTCTCGTTATAAACGTCAATTTTTCCCAAAATTTTTCCTAAATTTTGCTCGTTATACCCGACTTCTCGTTATATCGATCTCGTTATATAGATACAATTTCCTATACCTAATGCATTGGAACCAACCAAATGTTCAAAATCTGCTCGTTATAGCCGGTATCTCGCTATATCCGACCTCGTTATAAACGGCCTCCACTGTATATATATACTATAGAGGGGAGAGAAGCGCGGCGCGTTATAATAAACGCGTCGCGCACTTTTTGTATATATCATGGTTGTACCTAGAACAATTAACTACTGTCGTTGAACGCGCCCCTATCTCGCCTGATTATTTATCGCGATACATTGATGTTAACGTCTAACAACGATCGATTTGCAGGTAGTACGGCGCGAATCGACTGCGCGACTTATTTACTCTTGCGAGAGAAGCAGCGTCTGCTAGAACGCGTTTATTAAAGACCTTTGGCTCTTGCGCGAACCGGGCCCCTACTAATTACCCCCGCTAATTGTATTCTTCCACCCGTATACCTCGTACATAGGCCTCCTTCGCGAACATTACGCGTCGCGCTAATCTCGAGTCGTCGCTCTCATTAATGAATCAGCTGAATCAGCGTGTTGTACAGCCACGCGCACGCTGACGAAATTGTACACGGAGCTGTACTGCAGTTCATTTCCCGAAGCTAACTCTCAAACATAATTGTCCTCTTCGATCCTCGTTTTAGGTATCAGTAACCGTAATATAAGCGGGACCGGCAGGGCCCGCGGCTCTTGTGACTTGATCAAGTTAGACTATATAGGTATATATGCGCGCGGGTGACTGCTGAGCGCTCGCGCAAAGCTCTCCTGACCCCGCAGGTTTATCTTTCTTCTTCCACGAGCTCCTTTTCGCCCGCTCAATTTCTCATTCTTAATGGGCAGGAGACAGAGTTCTCATAAGCCAATCTGTCTCGGTTGCAAATGTATGCATCCAGAAAAAACAGAATCCACGCAGCGAGAAGCGCGTTCTAATCGCTACTCACTATTATACCTTTTCTTTTGGGCGGTTCCGCTGATCCATACGGCCCAGGCGGCGTAGTCGACACGGCTTCATCAACTGTGAGTGTACCGGAAAAAGAAAGCTTGCACAGGAAACAATGTTACTTCCATGTTGGAACGCGACACAACTCTGAGCGCGCGTATATCAATATATTATAGGCGCTCGTTAGATCGCGACCTGTAGTATAACCTCTCAAGTCGTGTGCGCGCCGTCCATTGTACATATATACCAGGGGCAGTTCCGGTAAGTGCTGAAATTATCGTTAAAAATTATGATTATGATTGTCATCATAAGCTCATCTTAAGCTCTATATGCCTTTACAGAAACAAGCGTGCCGCTCGATGTACAAACACCGTGTCTGCCTTTTACTTCGCTCACACTCTCAGATAGTTACCTGTTTTACCGTCCTTTCTCTTCTGCGAGCTGCATATATGTGCAGCGCGATGCATGTGTTAGTTACATGCTACTTGAAGTCGACTTTACGCGGAGTTAGCGCATGGCTACTGTGATATATTAAGTTTTAATCAAGCGCCTGCCACGTATTAATTGTTTTAACATTGATAACGATTTTGCTGTCGGCTTGTTGCAACCCTCAAAGTACCTTTGAAGATCAACTGCATAAAACGTACGGCCACGAGGAACGAACTTGTCGTTTTCGCTTTAACTAGTTCCAAACCGTGTCTATAGATGGCGTACTTGTTCTCTCTCTGCTCGACTAAACTACTTTCATGCAGCCGACATGAAGCCGAACGTATATGATAGACGGGATTAATATAGCGCGTCGCCTCGAGTCGTACAGTTCAGCTACATAACTTTTGAAATTAAGAAAACTACATTCAAAATTTGGCAAAGGATAATCATTGTTCGGTAACTAGACATCCAAATTTACTGTAATGCAACATTCTTTTTTGCATTTGAGGGTTTTTTTACCAAACGTTTAAAATCGAAAACGATCTTTTCACGCGCGACGACAAAGTGTTTTCTGATCCAAAGTGTTGGACCTTTATTACGTCTTGTTATGATTGATTCAAAATATTCATTATTTAATTATCACTGATAAAAGATAGATTCGAGAGAATATTGATTCAATTGAAAAACTTAATCCTTTTTATTTTTTCCAACAGTCGACGAGAAAATTGGAAAAATAACAAGAACCAAGATGCCTAGCCACCTCGTGATACCGAAGGCAGAACCGGATATTAAGCTAAAAACTATCAGAAAACGCAAGGATCAACAGCAGCATCAAAACCTTTTTTCCAATGGACCGGAAATCCCCGGGGTTCCTTGTGGAAGGGAACTTCTGGCATCCATCGATTTGATTCGACAACGTAAGGCTAGACCAAATCAAAGTAATCTGATCAACTATATGTTGAAGAATTACAAAATCGACCGTGAGGAAACCTTGATAACAATCAAAAAAATGATTGAGCTCGAACATGTAGTTGAGGTAATCTACAAAGGGTCTATCAGCTATCGCAATGCCTCAAATTGGAAGAGGCTTCCCTTGTACATGAACCGACCCGAGGCATTTCGAAAGGACAAGATCAACTCAGAAACAATTTCTGATGCCTTTTCTCAATTGATATTGCAAGAACCAGATTACTTGAACACAGGAATACCAGCTCCCAGGTAAGCAAACGTTCATTATCTATTTATTTATTTATTTATAGATTCATTTATTTAACACCGGTGAAATATACTAGAATAATTAAGTTTCAAAGATAGAGAGTTAATTTTATACATCTATAACAGGTTGATCGATCATCTGCTAAATGGTCATTCGAACCCAACTACTCAACGAATGGTTGAAGATTTTCTGAAAAAAGAAGTTTCCCAAGGAAAATTTGAAAAATTATTAAATGGCAATTATTTGTTGGTGGGTTCCTCAAACATGAGTGGTGGATCTGTTACCATAAATGCTTCTATACCCAATCAAGTGGAGATTCTGAACATTACTTCAGACTCAACTTTTTATGATGATAATTCATCGTATAGTCCTCACAACGACAATACACTATTGCATACAAATACAAATATTACAAATAATACTCTGAAAAAAGAAGATTGTTTCGAAATTATTATGGGAAAAGACTGGATCCCGAATGGACAAATCCATGAATCAAATAATAATATAACAGATATAAACAGTACAAAAAGTTTTGAAAATCACAGCAGTCAAGATATTACAAATTGTACAGTAAAAAAAAGCAACAAGGCAGAAAGGAAACAAAAATTAGAAATACGCCATGACTTAGATTATGATTCTCAAGACATGTTTGATCTATCTTCGGACAACGAAATCGAGCCATACAACGAAATCAAAGATGTTCTCAAAGAAAAATACTTCGCCTCGTTGAATCTGATTCGTACATCATTGCTACCATCTGTCACAAATAATACAGGTTCAGTCAGAGCACCAAAACGCATTATTGTAAGTATTTTGGTAATAAATATTTTACCAATTAATTTAAAATGATTATAAGTGTAACTAAACAAAACTTTTTTTCATTTCAGAGAGTCATAAGAGTGAAAAAAGTATTTGATCCATCAGATAATTTTATAGTGAAAAAGAAAAGAAGCAAACAGCCAAAAACAATGCCAACAAAGCCAAAAACAATGTCAACAAAGCCAAATGCTACAATTCCCCAAGAAAACAGAGAAACTGTTACCCATTCTCAAAACAAAGAAACTTCAAAAGATGAATATTGTCATCGCTGCAGTAGTGATAAACCAGATTCATTAGTGGAGTGCGAAGATTGTACAACTAAAGGTAAAAATAATTAAAACTTACTTGACATTCATGTATATATTTTTCAACTAAAATTTTCGTTTATTTTCAGTACATTTATCATGTGCACTACCATCTAAGGAAACGAGCAAGAAAGCCCTTATTGATTGGCGTTGTGAAAGGTGCAAGATGTGTGAAGTATGTCATGAGACTGTTGAATCTGTAAGTAAAATCATTTCTCATGTGACAACTTTCATACAGATATAATAATGACGAAATTCACCATTCTAATATACAATGTTTGTTAACAGGGAGCTATGGTAAGTTGCTATAAATGTGACCGTGCATCTCACATTAAATGCCTATCAGATAAAAAAACCCAGAAAGCATCTAAATGGGAATGTCAAGATTGTCAAACTAAGCGCAAATCACCATCACTTGAAAAAGTCTCAAAGAGTTCCGATTCAATGGATGCGTCTGAGGTAACCAACCGTTTGAAGGCAGAAATAAAAAAAACTGCAAACAGCCCAAAAATATCAGAGGTGATCCATAACAAAATAACAAAAAAATGCGAAAACAAAAAAAAAATAGATCCTAACATACCAGATGTTAGAAAATGGACTGTTGAGCAAGTTTTTCTCTTTTTCTCACGTTATTTTCCAAGACATGCTCAGGCATTCAAAGAACATGTAAGTAACAATATATATATATTTTTTTCAAAAATTAAATTGATCAAATTGAAGCTTATTAATTATTTTTTTTTATAGGAAATCGATGGAGCTTCTTTGCTTCTTTTAACCAAGAAAGCTATAATCGAAAAATTAGGTGGCTTACACGGAAAGTTGGGACCAGCATTAAAAATCTATAAACAGGTAGTCATCCTAAAAGCAAGATATGACGATACCGCCCTTTACTGGCTTTAAATTAAATTTGAATAGCCCCGTCACATTTTCTATGCATTGGAAATAAAAAATCGTTCTAATTACTAATTGTCCTAGTGATGGTTAGGCTACGGTGCTTTAGTAGAAAATACCATTTCATATTTTTAGTGCATACATTGTTGTGTATTATGCAGTTAGAGAGTTTATAGAGTCAGTGATTCATCGATCATTTTTGATTCGTTAACCAGTATTATCTGTGAAAATTATATTGAAATTATAATTCATGGATTCATGAACAAATGTTAAATGAAAAGAAAACTATTTATTTTTATGCAAGATTGTATAATAATGTATATTAACTTAATTTTAATGTATATAATTGTACATTTGATCTTCCATTGTTTCGTCGATTTGTAAGGATGAAAATATTCAATAATATTATACAACAATTGTATTTTTTATATTATATTAAGAATCAACAATTGTTTTTTAATGATTAAAAATTTTACACTTTGTAACATGCAATGACTTTTTACTATCCAACCCCCACCGAGAAACTAAATCTTTATTCGGTTGAAGTGACACTCACTAAAATGTAAACTTTTTAAAAGTCGATATCCTTATATGTATTTTTTCTTTTAAAATCAAAATTGAAATATCAAAGTTATAAGAAAATGGAAATTTCCCATACAAGGGTCGTAAGCAATAGGCACTACCGCTAGGTCTGCGAATTTGTAGCACCAAGTGCTATACGCACGCGGATCGTCGAAAGGGTCCGGGCTCGTTGAGCGTCGAGCGAGCTTGCATCGTAAATTCGAACGACGAAACTGCCGAATTATTTCATCCTGCAAATTTCAAGTTTTCAAAAGTTATAAACATTTTTAGTCCTCGCGCGCGCGCAAGCGCATTCACACATATTATAGTCAATTGCCTATACACTGCATAATAAGTAAGTAAGACGATTTGTGACTCTGTTTTTCTTCGCAATGCATAAATATATTATCGTAATAAATGGCCGGGCAGCGTGCGAGCGCTCGACGCTCATGGAGAACTCGGATTCCGATCAAGCTCCTCGCAAAGAGGCGATAAAACGTCTACGCGCGCGTACTATTATCGACCACGACCAAATTTCGGCGTGCGACGAGCCGAGCATATACATAGATACCTGTCCCGTTTGCTACGAACGTTACGGTCTTCGCACGCACGCGAAGAGGCTTGTACTCGGCGTCTGTGTGAGACGATGTCGAGGGTATTTTTACGACGCTGGACGTTGGGTCCTTTCTGGGAGCTGATTGGCCGTCGACTGCCGGTCGAGTGCTGCGAACGAATAATCGAGAATATCGGTAACGAAGATTTATGTAACGTGTGCTTGGCGGCTGCGTAGCTGATTTTTTGCCATCGATAAAGCCGTGTGCGATCGTTTGAAGCAACGACACTTTATCGAGAACAAAATCTATATGTAGATAGATCGAACATGTAAATATTATAAATAAATTATACCGTTGCACAGTTGAACAAATGACAAATGCTTGAGAAAAGCTAGGGTATTCGAAAAAACTGTAAATGCCATTGGCGCTAAGATTAAGGACATGATTAACTAAACATTTTTATACGATTTAGATAAATGTTGATTTTATTTTATTGTTTGAATAAAAAGTTGTATAAATCAAGGTATAAAGAAAAATTACGATTGTTGTAATAAAATGAAACTTGTTGTAAAGAATTATCGTCAATGATATAAATTCATTGGTGAATCAAGAAAGTTATCGCCCCCATGCAAACTTTCATTTGCCGTTCGCACAATTCTAGAGCTTCAATAAAGATTTTGGATCAATGAAATTACTAAGAAAAGGAAAAAAAAATTATGAAAGCTTCTTACTGGTTTTAAAAAAATTTAGGAAACATATTTTGGATTATTAATTAATTAAAATTAGACATTAAAACCATTTTCAGCCGACTTTCAATCGTTGCACGAATTTCTGCAGAAACAAGGGAACAAAAAAATGTACCTTGGCTAGTAATTAACAATTTGTGAAATTTTATTTAGTCAACTAAGCACCATCACGACAGTAAACCAAGGTGTAATGACAATTGATAGCTCGAGATTCAGATAATACACAATCATTTCGGCACAAATTTTATTGAAATTTTGCAAAAACGTCTATATAAGTATGAATAAATATAAGGAAAGAGTCCCTTAGTGTATGTTTGTAAGTGTGTGTGTGAGAGTGAGTATGTATGTTGACAGTTGAGTATATACATATAATGGTGTTATTAATATTTGTTGGTTAGCAAACTGACACATGTGTATTCTCTATAACAAAAGATTTATTTAGAATAAAATTAAAATACTATTTACAATAATTTTCAGTTATATTACTTATAACAAAAGAAACGACATTTAATGTCAATTCTTCACGCTACCCTTCTGTTTACATTAACAGCTCAATGAACACTCGATTCTCAATCTCACATTCATTCATGACATACTCTCTTCATATTCCCTCTCTTCAAATAATCAATTATACCCACGTGACCTAAGTCCGTGGAAAAGAAAGTACGACGAGAGTACAACGTACTTTATATCTCCCCCGATCGGAGAAAAAAATGCGTACCATTTTTTTTTTAATACCTAAATTTTACACTTAATTTTACTTATATACATATTTTTACTTTTCTTAGCTTACATTTATTTTACATTATATCCATAATCATCCACCTCTTTCTCTGACAAAACAGGGTACTAGTTTCGTAACATGGAAAAGATCCGATTTTTTCCTCCCATGTCCAATGTTTATCTTATAAATTGAATCGGATATCTTCTCTTTAATTTCAAATGGTCCCAATCTGAGTTCATCCAGTTTTCCTCTATTTAATTTGTTTCCATTCTCTATAAATACTTTGTCTCCAATCTTTAAATCCAGTTGTATCCTATTTTTATCAAACACTTTTTTGTTATAATTATGAGATTTCAAAGTATTTCGTAGTGCAATTTCTCTATCAGTTTGTAAATCATTTCTTACTATATTTTTTTTCAATTCATTCGGTAGTATCACTGTATCCTCACCCATTAGCAAATATTTAGGTGAAAAACCAGTAACTGTGTGAATAGTCTCGTTGTATCTTTTTATGCATTCCTTGGCTATGGTTGACCAAGCTCGTTTTTCCATTTTTTCATTAATTTTGCATCGAATTCTATTTACTATCGTTTGGTTTAGTCTTTCATTCAGACCGTTTGAAAAAGGCGAGTTTACTGCAGTGAAAACTAATTGAATTGCATTCTCTCTTAAATAGTCCTTAAAATCTTTGGAATTTATACCTGGATATTGATCACTCAGTATCATTTTAATTTTCTCACTATGCCTAGTCTCTCTGACTAATTTTATAAAATCATTCGAGTTTTGAGTCTTTGAAGTCGTGATCCAGGCATACCTCGTAAAGTGGTCTACCAACAGATGCAAATACCTTTTCGATGATCTTGATCCTCCGAATCCTCCTATCGTATCAATGGAAACAATCTCGAGTGGTGCCTTCGCTGGGCCCAAGTGCGCCATTAAGCCATACTTGTTTTGACCTCTAGTTTTATTTTTAACGCACACTGCACAGCACTTGCATACTTCTCGGATGCTCTTTTGTAAATTTTTACTAGTGTAAAAAGGACAAAATAATTTTTTAATTTGATTCATACCTATATGGCCATAGCTTTCATGAATCTTCTTCAAAAATTCTCGGCTCATTTGCTCCGAGAGTATAATTTTTTCCTTATTTTGCTCTTTTTTATAGTATATTCCATTTCTTTTTATTTGATTTTCCTTACTTTCCTCTTTATATATTAATGTATTTTCTATTTGGTCTTTTTCTATCTCTGCTAACGTAATTAAATTTACAATTCGCAATTTTCCTTCTTCCTCTATTGGTTCCAATACTGGATTTCTGCTAAGACAGTCGGCTTCCAAATTGTACTTTCCAGGAGCATATATTATCTTCATATCAAACTGCGACAAATAATAAGCCATATCCCCTAATTCCTCATCAGTTCTTGATTTCAAATTTAAATTGGCCAATGGTTTATGGTCCGTCAAGACCTCAAAAGATCTCCCGATTAAGCGATATTGCCAATATTTTACAGCTTCTTTCACTGCTAAGCATTCCAAATATATTGCTTTCTTTTTCCTTTGTGCCTCATTCAATTTTTTTGAAAAATAGGCTACTGGTTTTTCCTCACCATTTTCTTGTGGCTGTTTTAAAATTGCACCGATTCCTTTTATACTGGCATCGGTGTAAATTCTTATTTTGAGTTTTGGGTCAAACACACTCAAAATTGGTTTATTACACAGTAGCATTTTTATTTTAGTAAATGCTTCTTCACATTCATTCGTCCACGCGAATTTCTGATTCTTCCTCAACAAGTTATGTAATGGATCCAATATGATTGCATTATCCTTCACGTATTTATGATAAAAATTGATTTTACCTAAAAATTGCCTGACGTTCTTCTGTGTCCTTGGAGTTGGGAAATCCTTAATCGCAATCAAATTGTCTTGCAGTGGACGTATTGTATTTTTTTGAATTATGTGCCCCAGATACTTCACTGAGTCTCTCGCAAAATTACATTTTTCCAGCTTTAATCTGAAACCTTCTGTCTTTATCGCTTGCAATAATTTCTTTAAATGCTGCAAATGTTCCTCAAACGTTTTTGAAAATACTAATATATCATCTATATAGTTGACCGTAAAATTTGAAAGATTATTTTTTTTTATAATATTGCTTAAAATCCTCTGAAATATTGATGGACTAGTTTTTAATCCAAACGGTAGGCACGTCCACTGGAAATGACCTTCCTGCGTGATAAAGCCTGTTTTCCTTCTATCTTCAACTCTTAAAGGTATAGACCAGAAAGCTGAATTTATATCCAACGATGAAAAATAATTACAGTCCCTGGTTTTCTCCATTAAGTCCTCTATCAGAGGAAAAGGTTGAGCTTGCGGTACCACTATTTTATTGAGCTCTCGGAAATCTATGCACAGCCGCGATTTTTTATT